GGTCTTGAGGGAGCTCTTTACTTTTACCCATCATCAGATGTTTCATGTGATACCTGGCAATCATCTGGGTCTGAACCAGCTGATATTAACTTGGACTAACAAGGGGCAGGCTTGCTTTTGAATTACTGAGAGAGTTCAGCTGGTGTCTTGGCTTTCCATGCCTTTTTACACCTCCCTTTCTTCATCCCTGTGCCATTCCACATTATTAAAAATAACTTAATTTCTGGACATTTATGGTTTGATTTCTTTGTATGTATGGATCACTTGGGTTGTTACCAACATCTGGTGAAAATTTCATGTCATTAGCACCTCTAGTAATATATTTACTGAGAAAAATGGTGACATGTTCAATACTTATTTTACCCGCTGTAAATCATAACCAGTGCTTGACTGAAATAAGCAATTAATTGATTTCTCTGATTCAGCTTGATCAGATTTCACAATAATTTTAAAGCTGTCAGAGGGCTGATGGTTGAAAATGCTAGTTAGTTTTTTGGATGTTTTTTTATTTCGCTGATTTATAGTAATATTAAACCCTATGGAGTGTATTTTTCATTTAAATAACATTTAAATAAAATTTGAAGTCTTGCTCTCTTGTCTCATATCCACCTTTTGACCCAAATGTTTTTAGTCTAAAGCAAAAGGAAGGGCGTTGGCCTTATTGTTCTTTTACTTTTTAGAGATGAATGAAACACTGACTTTTCTGGCCAGTATGATTTTTTTAATTTAACAGAATATAACAATTACTCCATTTAAATAATGTACTTTGAACAACGCTTAGAAGAAATTATTCCCTCCAGATGGTTACTGTATAATCTGAACACTGATTGGTTCTATGAATATAACAAAACTGGATTGTTTAAAAATCATAATTGGACAGACAATAGGGAGATCATTGTCTGAACATGAGTTTAATAAATGTTTATGAATAATCCTATCCTTCTTAACTCATACGTCTTTTCCTGTTCTTTGTGTGTCAGTCTATTGATCCAGGTCAACAGTTCACCTGGGAGAACTCCAACCTGGACGTCAACAAGCCTAAGAACCGCTATGCTAATGTTGTTGCCTACGACCACTCCAGGGTCATCCTCGCTCCTGTGGATGGTAAGAAACAAACAAAAAAATAAAAATAAAAAAACTGATGAAGCCGAGAAATGTATAAAAAGAACAGGTGGAGATGTAAAACTAAAACCTACAATAAAACCCAACAGAATAAACAAAGGACAAGTTTTTGATGTAAGGCAAACAGAACATGGAACAAAGTCAGAAGAAAACATAAAACCAGTTCAGAAGGTAGAAGAGGAAACAAAGTATGGAAGAGAGTTTACAGACTACTTACAGACATGTCAACCACTTCAGACATTTACCTGTATCTTGACTCTCAAAATACGGAATTTTCACAAAACATTGTAGTACGGCACACATGGTACTGCTGAGTTTTTAAAAAAAAAAGAAAAAAACATGTCAGCTTTCTCTATGTATCTGTATACCTGCAAAAGGGAGGATACTCTGTGTAATTAATGGACAACTTATAAATAGTATTTAGAAAAAACTCATTTTCTTTTAGTTTTAACTTTAAGTTAATAGGGAGGATTACGACTGCAGGGTTAATTGTAAGCAAAAATCAAAAAGTCCTGTCTCAGTGTAAAATTAATTCTTATCAATCTGTTTCCTCCATGTACAAAATGTTTTCTGCCAAAAGGAAGCCCCATTTCCCAAAAACATGTGTGCTTTTAACCAGATGTCTTAGTCTTACTATAGAGATGGAGAGATGCTTGACCAGAGATTGAGGCAAACTGGTTGAGAGGTCCTCCTTCTGGGTCAATCCGGCTGTATGTCTGTATTAATAATTGTGTAAAAATGTTCCAGGATACCAGAAATACATGAGATTAAAGTTTAAATGTTGAATCTCGTCTATAAAAATCACAGTGGCTGTTGCATCTGGATTGTTCTGTTGTTAAACGCTCATCAGAAAGCGCATACATAATGACAATTAGAAGTAGTTCATGAAAAAAACAAGATGAAGTAAAAACAGAATTACTTTTTGCCCCTCTCCTGCAGGAGTTCCAGGTAGCACCTACATCAACGCCAACTACATTGACGGCTACAGGAAGCAGAATGCTTACATCGCCACCCAGGGCCCTCTGCCTGAGACACTCTGTGACTTCTGGAGGATGGTGTGGGAGCAGAGGACCTCCACCATTGTTATGATGACCCATTTAGAGGAGAGGTCACGGGTGAGCCTCTCAGGATTTAACAAAAACAATTCTGTGTAGACGTTAACTTGAGTTGACCAAAGGTCAGACACAAAGCTTAAAAGTCCTTAAATCATGTTAGCAGGAAAATGCATGTTTTTATAACAAGTTAGCATTTTGTTGTGTGCTGAATAACTTTAGAGAATCTCAAGAACTTGTCTTGAAACAGACTAGCAAAAAGTAGGAGAGCTTTTTATTTTGTCCACTGTGTTTTGTGTGCAGATAAAGTGTGAGCAGTACTGGCCCAGTCGAGGTACAGAGACATACGGAATGATTCAGGTGACCATACTGGACACTGTGGAACTGGCTACGTACGTCATGAGAACATTCACCCTCTACAAGGTGAGGACTCCTCATCCACACTGGGTGCACGACTTTTTAAACCAGTACAGCATTAGGTAAGATTTGTGGCGGCCATMTTGTAATTTGTCTATTCTTGTTCTGAATGCTTTGAGGAATGAACAGAATACCGAATAATTTTTTGAAATAATGGATTCTAGGTGCATGAAAATGCAAAAGAAGTTAAAAATGGTGTCTGTGTGGTAAACCCTGATAAAAGAAAGTTTTCATCTTCTCTGGGGGGTGTGACCTTTTGACCCCTGATGACATCATTGTGTATTTAAGTGTTTAATGAAATGTCATTTAAATAGAAGAACTAATCAATACCACTGTGCTGATACCTTGTTTTTGAAATTTGATTTATAGAAACGTTAATAGCAATTAAGCTTCCTGTACACCTAACTTTGATTGTTTGTGATGGTACAAAGGTGTGATCCAAAAACAATCCATTTTGTGTTAACATGCTGTTTCTAAAAGAGTGGACCCTACGGTACATGAAAATACCAGAAAACTTTAGTAGTGGGGGGAATCACGGTAACCCACCCTAAACTATGGACTAAAAGAAGCACAGTCAGACAGATAATCAATCAATCAATCAATCAATCAATCAATCAATCAATCAATCAATCAATCAATCAATAAAGCTCAGCCATAAAGTTCCCAAGATAGTCAGTCAGATTGGAAATGATCTGGGTCTGTATGTATTTACTCTTAAGAATGCTGCTAAGAGTGGACTTAAGTGGAAAAATAATTCTTAGTTAAAAGCTGAGAGTAAAAGTCAGTTATCAAGCCTCTCAGTCTTTAAGCGAAGTGTAGGAGTAATTCTTAAGTGTCAGTCTGAGAGCTGATCTGCGACACCTGGCTGTGCCGCAAATCTGATCCTGGATGACGTCGTTAGAAAACCCCCGGCATGAACCAATCACTGCCTCGAATTTCATATTCAAGAATATTGTCAAAGAGATGGCAAGATAAGACTGTGAAAATCCTAAGATTTCACTTCCAACACACTAATGTTGTCACCTTGTACTGATTGTCTATAAATTACATGAAATGTCCTCATTTGCATCATGAATACAGATGAAAATCTCAGATTTTTATACCAAAAACTCAGCAGCTTTAAAGTTTTTTACATCTCAGAGCCTGAGGTAATGTTGAGCTGCTTGCACTCACCAGCTGAGTATATTTGATATTTTCTCCAAAAGCCACATACAAATAGTCCAACATTATGCTCACAGTTGTTTTGTTTTTGTTTTTTTTACCTTTCTTTCTTTTTTATTACCATATAACTGAGAATAACACTCAGGTGGGGAGGAGGTCAGCTGTGTTCTCTGTGTGATCTCTGTCTTCAGTCCATCTCAGACCCCTAGTGGCAACTCTTAACCACTTAAGAGTCCTCTGGAGCAGTCTTAACTTTTTTTGAGAGTAAGAGTGATTCTTAGACTTAAGAATTTTGATAACTGGCACTTACACTTAAGTCAGAGAGTAGGAGCAAATCTAAGAAATTTTCAGCACTTAAGTCTAAAAATCCACTCTAAGAAGTTTGATAAATACGGGCCCTGGTCTATAGATGTCAGTGATGTTTTAGCTGGTGGTACCATTTTTAATAGTTTTCCCTGTAACTGAAGAAAGTTTTGACGGACATTTAAAAATGCTCTAACAGAATAGCTCAGGGGAGAAACGAGAAGTCCGGCAGTTCCAGTTTCTGGCATGGCCTGATCATGGAGTTCCTGAGTTTCCTACCACAACACTGGCCTTCCTTCATAGAGTCCACACCTGTAATCCTCCAGATGCTGGACCCATTGTTGTTCACTGCAGGTAAAACTACTTCTGACATCAGCTACAGGCTTCACCTTGTACTGCTGTACTTACTGAGAAAAATATGTTTAAGTTTGGAATAACTCTTTATGATTTGAATTTTGTTGGTTTGAAACTTTCTATTTCCTCTCACTTAAAGGTGTTTGTATGTGTTTGTTAGCAAAATATCTCATGAACTCTCAGAAAATAATGTGATGGTCACCACTGCTAACTGACAGTTTAATTCATTCTAAACAGCGAGTTTAAATGTGATATTTCTCAGAGCAATCAGTTGTGGCATAATCTGTTGAGGCGTAATCTGTTGTAGTGTAATTTGTTGTACTTTAATCTGTTGAGGCGTAATCTGTTGGAGTGTAATCTGTTGTACTTTAATCTGTTGAGGCGTAATCTGTTGTAGTGTAATTTATTGTACTTTAATTTGTTGAGGTGTGTAATCTGTTGTGGCATAATCTATTGTGGCGTAATCTGTTGTAGCGTAATCTGTTGTACTTTAATCTGTTGTGGTGTAATCTGTTGTGGCATAATCTGTTGTAGCATAATCTTTTGCTGTGTAATCTGTTGTACTTTAATCTTTTGCGGTGTAATCTGTTGTGGCATGATCTATTTTGGAGTAATCTGTTGTAGCGTAATCTATTGTGCCGTAATCTATTGTAGTATAATCTTTTGCTGTGTAATCTGTTGTACTTTAATCTGTTGAGGTGTAATCTGTTGTAGTGTGATCTGTTTTAGTGTAATTTGTTGTACTTTAATCTGTTGCGGTGTATTCTATTGTATTGTAATCTGCTGTGCGATATTCTGCTGTGGTCTAATTTTTTGTATTGTAATTTGCTGTGGCGTAATCTTTTGTAATCTGTTGTAGTGTAATCTGTTGTAGTGTAATCTGTTGTGGTATCTATTGTGGTGTAATCTGTCACAGTGTAATCTGTTGTGGCATAATCTGTTGTAGCATAATCTTTTGCTGTGTAATCTGTTGTACTTTAATCTTTTTGCAGTGTAATCTGTTGTGGCATTATCTATTTTGGAGTAATCTGTTGTAGCGTAATCTATTGTGCCGTAATCTATTGTAGTATAATCTTTTGCTGTGTAATCTGTTGTACTTTAATCTATTGTATTGTAATCTGCTGTGCGATAGTCTGCTGTGGTCTAATTTTTTGTATTGTAATTTGCTGTGGCGTAACCTTTTGTAATCTGTCACAGTGTAATCTGTTGTGGTGTAATCTGTTGTAGTGTAATTTGTTGTGGTGTAATCTGTCACAGTGTTATCTGTTGTATTGTAATCTTCTGAGCCTTTGCCTCCTAACAGTGCCGGTGTCGGCCGTTCGGGGTGCTTCATTGTCATAGACTCCATGTTGGAGAGGATGAAGCACGAGAAGTCAGTGGACATATATGGTCATGTGACGTGCATGCGTGCTCAAAGAAACTACATGGTGCAAACAGAGGAACAGTACATGTTCATTCATGAAGCCCTGCTGGAAGCTGCAACGTGTGGGAACACAGAGGTCACAACCCGCAACCTGTACACCCACGTCCAGAACCTGAGTCAGATCCCTCCTGGAGAACCACTCACTGTCATGGCGCAGGAGTTTAAGGTCAGAACATGCTCTTCTTAACATACAGAGAGTGTGTACGCATCGACTGAGTAGGAATTCTACATTTTTATAATGTTCTCTGGGGACGACCAAAAAACGTGAAAATTTTAGAGATCAAGCCCCTTTTCAAATGGCCTGGCAGGAGATCATCATCGCCTATCGCAGATGATGGAAGAGCGATTATGTTTTTATTTGTCTGTATGCATGTGTAAGTGTTTGTAGTGTTAGCAAAATATCCCATGACTCACTGGACAGATCTTAACAAAACTCTCAGAAGGGAATTGGTTGATAACTCTTTATTTTACTCTATACCCCACTTTAAAATGGCCACTATAACCTACTGACTGCTGGTCTGGGAACGCCTTGGGATTCCCCCGGATGAGCTGGCCGAAGTGGCTGGGGAGAGGGAAGTCTGGGTCTCTCTGCTTAGGCTGCTGCCCCCGCAACCTGACCCCGGAAAAGCGGCAGAAAATGGACGGACAGACTATAGCTAACTGACGTTAGCAAACACAAAAATTCAGTCAGTTAACAGATCCTGAGTCAAAAGTTAATGTGGTAGCAACTGAGAGTGATCCTAACACAAACCTAGAAGACCACATCTTGGCTTAAAACTTGGTGGCTTTAAACTTGCCAGTCTGTTAGTAAAATATCTTGTAACTCAAAAAGTTTATAACATTAGAAAAGTTTTCCTAATGAAAACTCCATGTGGAATTTGAGACAATGTGTTTGTTAAAGTTGCAGTGTCACCTCTAATGTGTCTGATCTGATGATATCATGTTATTTTCTCTACGCAGAAACTGACCTCTGCACCAAGCTTTAAAATACAAACTGCAAGATTTATAAGTGCTAACCTGCCCTGTAACAAATTCAAGAACCGCCTGCTCAATATTGTGCCTTTTGAATCCACCCGGGTCAACCTGCAGCCAATCAGAGGAGTGGAAGGCTCTGATTACATCAACGCCAACTTCATTGATGGATACAGGTGAGCCCATGAAAATCACAATAAAAAGGGATTCACTTTGTTTCACTCTGACCTCTTCTGCAACACTGTTGGTATTGGTAGAGACCCAAGAGTGCAGGCAGTTCAGGAAAATGTACTTATTAAATAAAATCATGTTGCATAATTATCAGACAGAGATTGAGTGAAAAAGCAAAGCTGTTACAGTATCTAATGAGAAAGTGATTGCTGAATCAGTAGAGGTGGGCTGATTATTACAATAGCTGTTATTTGAGCATGACAAAGGCAGGACAGAGTAAATGAAAACAACTTTGAGTACAACATGGAACAAATACAAAAACAAAACAAACTTCCAGCCTGAACAGGTAACAAAATACAGATGAATGGGAACAGAAAACAATGACCGTTGAGAGAGAGAGTGTGTTTGTGGTGTGGGTGGGTTGTGTTGTGTTTCCTACCATATGAGGACCAGTTTTAGAAAAAAACACCTACATGTGGTAGCCTGGCCCTTGCCTTCCTACACAGTTCCACTCAATTCTAGTTTCCCTTCACTGCGCTGTCTGGGATTTCTCCCATAGAGAAGGATTTCTTTTGTAGAATTTTAACTGGGCCAATCAGCGAACAGGAGGAGGAGTTTTGAACGACAACGTCAATTTTCTGTGCAGTTTTATGGATTCGATACACGGGTAGCGACAAACGACAGCGAATAACAGCTGTCATCGCAACAGGGTGAAACCCGACACACGGGATGCGATAGCGCTGGCAGCGTTGCGAATTGCGCTACTACTCAGCATTGCAAATCTCATTACTACTCAGCGTTGGAAATAACATTACTACTCAGCGTTGGAAATCATGTTACCACTCTGCGTTGGAAATCACATTACTACTCAGCATTGGAAATCACGTTACTACTCAGCGTTGCGAATCACGTTACTACTCAGCGTTGCAAATCACGCTACTACTCAGCGTTGCGAATCGCGCTTCATTTTCTCCGCTCATTGGTCAGTCAATGAAACCCTTGCTGATTGGTTATAATGCCAAGTGACAGCAACAAAAGTTGAACATTTTTCAACTTTCATATGTCGCGTCGCAAGCTCACGTGCACGTCTATGTGTACGAGCACAAAATTTCCCATGAACGATTTTTGCCAGTCACTTGGCTGGAGGAGGGTGAGCAATTGTTGCCTCATTGCACAAGCTCCATAGGAAATGAATGGAGAGAGAGCAACGTCGCCTCCTGTGTGTCGAGCCCATTAGTCTGCTTGTAGTTTAGTAATGGCAGTGGAGGAAGTGAATGAATCCATTCAGTCCGTGTTGACAACGCTTCCAAATTAAATTAAATTTGTCTGACAAAGCCCGCAAGACTTATTTACAGCCGTCTCATTCGGCTTGGTACTTCTCAATTGTCTCAGTAGGGGATGGTTGTTACACAGAACACACAATTTCTGGTTCGCTTCTTAGCTTAGCCTCCTTCACTGTCGAGCTGCTGTACTACATCATGACCAACCGTTAGCGACTGGATAAATCAAATCCAATCGTTTTAAACTTCAACGGAGTTCACTCCTCCAGCAAGCAATCGCTTCTCAATAGCCAAGGTTCCAGACCCTCTGTATGAAGCAAAGCAAAGAACAAGGGGCTGGTTTTTACCAGGCTAACATGTGGGGACCTAAGCTGAATCCCTGTTTGTGTTAAATGCCATTGGCGGGATCGGGAGGGTAAGTTCTAGGACCAAGGGGTGAATTGAGTTTAGGTTAGGTTTGGGGTCAGGTGATCCTAGGTTAGTTTGAGGTTAGTTTTAGGATAGGGGGGTCAGGGTTAGGCTGTAGAAATTAACGGAAGTCAATGGAATGTCCTGATATAGATACCTGGACACAGCTGTGTGTGTATGTGTGTTAATGTATACTTAGTTTTTGTTACCTTTTCAGGACCTTTTCTGGTATAAACCTACCTTGTCAAGACCAATTGTCCTTATGGGGACCAAAGACCAGTTCTAATATGGTGGAACATCATTTTTGGGTTAAGTGTTAGGTTTAGGACCAAGGTATGAATTGAGGGTGGTTAGTGTTATGTACTGGGGTGGTTATAGGGTGACCAGATGTCCCTGATTTCCAGGGACAGTCTTTATTAATTGAATAAGAAGGAAAATGTTGTGTGTAGCAGATAGCAGAGGGAAAGTAACTGTTAATGTGGTGCAAAGTTTTCATCTTGATCACAAATAATTGTTTTTCATCTCCGAAGTGGAACTGTTCCTAGATTAACTTTTAGAAATCTGGTCTCCTATGGTCATTAGGCTTAAGGTAAGTGTCAGGGTTAGGCTGCATAAATGACTGGAAATGTATCAAACTCATTACACAGGCCCAATAAGGATAGAAACACAAACCTGTGAGTGTATTGGGACTGTTGGTGTACAGATTGCACCAAACAGCAGCTTTATGGAGAAAGTGAAAATTATAATTGAATTTAAGCAAACTTAGAGACATAAACACATCTGTCTTTTCCACTCTATAGGCACCAGAGAGCATATATTGCCACCCAGGGTCCTTTACCTGAAACCTCAGAGGACTTGTGGAGAATGTTGTGGGAACAAAACTCCACCATTGTGGTCATGCTCACAAAACTGCGTGAGATGGGACGGGTAAACAGCACAATCATGAACACTTTCTTGCCATGACATATGAACTGCTACTACAACAAACTACCCTGAGCATAATAAACTGTGTCCATGAAATAAAAGGTTTTACATTCAGTAATGTGACACTTGACCAGTAACAAATGTGAATGCTGAGTCAACATTCACATTTAACGCAGACATAGCTGGTACTAGGTACATACCCTGTGTTTATTAGGTACTTATCTGGTACTTATCAAGTAACTATATAGCCTTTATTGTATGCATATACACATGGTACTTACTTGGGATATACCTGGTGTCATGATTGGTGTTTTTGTCTTTATTTTCTCAGTGTTTTTCTGTTTCCCTGTGTTTTCCTTTCCCTGCTGTTTCACCTCCAGCCCCACGCACGCACACCTGATTCCTCTCGTGTCTCCCCAGGTGTTTCTCATTTACTCTTAATTTGTTTGCTTTATAATCTGAGTCCTCCTGTGTTTTGTCCCTGTGCTTCGTCTCCCTTGTGCCTGTTCCTCTAGAGAAACTGTGAGTAATTTTGAGCTGCATCGACAGCCCTTTTGTTTATCAATAAAGTCTTTTGTTCCATTTTTTGAACCTGCCTGCGCCCTGGGTCTGTTCCTGCAAAATCCTCACATAATGATCCGACCACGCACCTAGCCTGCAGGTAAAGGTTTTTCTGGTCTGCCCCTCCACATGGCAGATAATTTTTTTCCCTCTCCGACGCCTGAACCTGGGTCGGTTGCCTTTACCTCCTCATCGCCTGGTTCATCGACCATTGCCTGGTTCGTCGCCCATCGCCTCCTCATCGCCTGGTTCGTCGCCCATCGGTTCATCGCCCATCCCCTCCTCATCGCCTGGGTCGTCGCCCATCGCCTCCTCATCGCCTGGATCGTCACCCATCGCCTCCTTATCACCGGGATTATCGCCCATTGCCTCCTCATTGCCTCTGTTGCCTGCCTTTGCCGTCGCTGATGCTCTGGCTTTGGCAACCTCTGCTGGCTCTTCGTCAGCTCCTGTCTCCTCCCTGGGCTCTTCGTCTGCTCACGTCTCCTCCCGGAGCTCTTCGGCTGCTCATGTCGCCTCCCAGGGCTCTTTGGCTGCTCACGTCGCCTCCCGGGGCTCTTCGGCTGCTCACGTCTCCTCCCGGGGCTCTTCGGCTGCTCACGTCTCCTCCCGGGGCTCTTCGGCTGCTTACGTCTCCTCCCTTGGCCCCTCGTCTGCTCGTCTCCTCTCGTGGCTCAAGTTCTGCTGCTGTTCCTGTGGGGCCTCTTGTTGGATGGTGTCATGGCCGTCTTCCTGAACTCTTGCCCCATGTTGGATGGTGTCATGGCCGTCTTCCTGAACTCTTGCCCCATGTTGGATGGTGTCATGGCCGTCTTCCTGAACTCCTGCCCCGTGTTGGATGGTGTCATGGCCGTCCTCCTGAACTCCTGCCCCATGTTGGATGGTCTTTGGGCTGTCCTGAACTTTGTGTGTTTTTGTCTTTGACTCTATGTTGTCTTGTGTTTCCCTGAGTATCGTCTATCTCCTCTTTTCGATGTCGGGAGCCGTCGTTGATGGGAGGGTCCTGTCATGATCTGTGTTTTTGTCTTTATTTTCTCAGTGTTTTTCTGTTCCCCTGTGTTTTTCTTTCCCTGCTGTTTCACCTCCAGCCACACCCATGCACACCTGATTCCTCTCGTGTCTCCCCAGGTGTTTCTCATTTACTCTTAATTTGTTTGCTTTATATTCTGAGTCTTGTCCTCCTGTCTTTGTCGGATCATTTTGTTTTATCCCTGTGCTTCGTCTCCCTCGTGCCTATTCCTCTAGAGAACCTGAGTAATTTTGAGCTGCATCGAAAGCCCCTTTTTGTTTATCAATAAAGCCTTTTGTTCCTGTTATGGCAATATTTATTTAACAAAGACAGAAATACGTGGTCCAAGAATGAAGGTACTCCGTGAGATGATCAGCTGAGTTTTATTGCAACAACAGGAAACACAGAGAACAACCTGCCCTGTCTCTGTGCCTCTGCTTCTCTCTGTCACTCTCACTGTCTCTCCACCCACTCGAGAGGCCTCATATATATATTTACAAACACCATTATGTCATCTTAGCAAGATTTGATACAAGGTCAAGGGAAAACACAAAGATGAACACAAGTGATATCTGAGAATGACTGTTGTTAGCAAATCTTGTTCTGACTTTAATCATTCTATCTGCAGATGAACAACTTCATGAAAACTTAGGCCATTAAAATATGTCATGAATTACTGGCTTAAACCTAAAAGTATTAGTTCCACCACAACTCCCCTCCTCTTGATTAGTCACTAATCAATTAAATGATCAATAAAAAAAAACTCTTTAAAGTATTTTTAAAAAATTATGTCAACACAAACCTAAGTAGAGTATATGTACTTTTCTGAAATCCCAACCCCAGTAATTCAATTTTTATTCTTCCCACAGTAATTACTAACCCCAAAACATAGTTATCACACAAAAGTCTTTGGATCATCTTGAACACAAACAGGATTGTCTGTTTTGCTGTGTCGAAGGGTCAGAGGTGGTGGTGGGGCTCTGTGAATCTTTGTAGATCTTGGTTTAGTGTGAGGGGCTGGAAGATGAGAGTTAATTGGATTTGGGTGTGGTTTTTGTTTGATCTTAATCTCCGAAGGTTCTTCCATGTTGTTAGTAAAATCCAGGAGGGGGCATTCCACTTGCTGTCCTGTTGGAGTCTCAGAGTCCAAGAGATCCTCTGTTTGTGAGGCTGGTTCTGCAGCTTGAAATAACTCCTCTCTCTCTGGTTCTGATTCTGAAGCAGTCTTCTTATCAGTAACTGGCACGCTGTGTTCCACTGATATCTCAGTTTTCTCCAGCTGTCCWTCAGACGTCAGCTGTTGTGGTTTTTCCTGTTGTTTGTTTCCAGCCAGAACTTTGTTCAGGAAATACTTCATGTTTGAAGCCAGAAGTTGAGCTCCAGTTTTATTCAGAGTCATTCCATCAGACCTGAAGAGATGTTTTCTCTATCAGAAGAGATCAAAGTTATCCACAAAACTCACAGAGTGGTCAGCACAGGACTTTTCCAAAAAGCCATTAAGGGCCAACAGTCTGCTGAACCTCTCAGCTCCTCCTCTGGCTGCATGAACGGGCCCACTGAGGAACACATTCATGTTGAGATTTTTAACTGCATTCAGCAGCAGAATAAAACCCTTCTTCAGGATTTCTGACTGTTGGTTCATAACTTCATCACTTCCTGTATGAATGATGAGTGTATTCTAAGTTGGATACTCAGCTGTTATTTGCAGAATCTTCTCTGTGAGGTCAGACACTTTATCAGCAAAACTCAGAACTTTGACTTTTTTCTTGTTGCAGAAGCCTCTGATCTCATTCACCATTTTATCTGTGATGATCAGCATTTCTTGATTTTCGAAAGTCTCTTTTTGGACTTGCTTTGGCTTTGGGCTGGATCTGGTCTCAGGTCCCTCTCTGAGGTCAGATAGTGAACTTTGTTCAGACTCACCAGTTTATTCCAGTGGTGTGAATCTGTTTTGAAGAAACACTGCTTCATTTCTCTGGCTGTTATCAGGTGTTTTGATTACAGCCTGTTTCTGCTTTATTCTCGTTGCTGCAGGAGAAAAAGCATTTATCTGTAATTCTGGCCATTC